ACGTGCTCGTGAGTTGTGGCCACCTTAAACATGCACCCGAAATCCCTAATTTAAAATACGGCAAGCAAATATTAGCTTTTCCCTCCCATGTCAGCAACTGGAATTGAAAGTTGAATAATAGGAGGAGAATTTGGGATTTGACGGCTTTAAATGTTTTTTAGGCCCAAGCTTTAGGTAAAGCTGAATATTAAATCAGGGTGAAACCGAATACTGGCTTGTTCAATATGAATTAATTATTATTTAACGACCTTAGAACTTAATTTAATAAATTTTTATTTGTTCAGGATGCGAGAAGCCACACAATAAATGAGCGATTACTTTTTCTGCACAATTGAAAGGAACTTGAAGGTTTTCAGATACAGAAGCTATTCCTACTTATTTCGGTGTTTCTGTTAATTTACTTTCTACAAATTTTCGCACACTTCTCAATAAAAGCAGGCCATAACAATGAGTTAGCCATAAATTATTTCGCCAAATGTGCTATGTCCGAATGGCAACCATCCAATTTGCAAATATGGACACCCGGGACGAATTAAACGGGAAATTACCATTTATATTGCGTTAAGTTCACACCAAAAGCGGAACGTTGAATGCACCAGAGTCAGACGATGATATTGACCAATTTGCCACATGTCGGCCTATTAATTCTGTTAAATGTTCTCTAATTGGCCAAACGAGTGAGATTGAAACGCTGTTAATCACCCCAAATCTGCGCAAGCAAATCATATGTTTATTATCATGTGCTCAGTGGGCTTTGGCATTTATTAGCCACGAAAAGCAGTCATAAATAATTCAAAAGTAATCCCAGACTCACATTTTTTTACGTAGTTAATAAATTTTACCATTAAAAGTACTGGAAATATGCGTACGTGTCTGCGGAAAATCCCTTTTTGAGGGTGGCAAATACTCGAGGGAGTCACTGCATTAGCTGAGTTAAAAAACTCAACAATAAAATAACGTGATATCCGCAGAGGATAGCATAATGTTTGGGCTTTGATTTATGGCCTGAAATCCGATGCCACAATTTGCTGACGCCGCTTAAATGTGATATTTTGAAAGCATGTTTTGCGTTTTGCCAAAAAAGATAAAAGCCTCAAGCTTTGCGCAGAATGGGTTAAGTCCTAAAAGGTTTTTCATTTATGAATTAGATTAAATATACGTTATCATTTTTGCTTTGCTTGTTATATTGCTCACAGTTTTAATTAGTTAATTGCTCTCACGTCTTTACAGTCTCAAAGAACATTTTTTTAATTTAATCAACGTCATTCCATAGAGATTTAAGAATGCCAAAGTTAGGGCAATCACTCAATCAGCCAGTTTGTACAAGCCAAACAACTCGGTCTTTTTTGTTGTCCTTTCAATCAAACTTTTTGTCAAACAGTATGTTCCTTGATGTGGCCGTCAGGAGCAAAAACTTTTTGCCAACGCATCACTAGAATGTTTGTCATTTCTCCTTTCAGGTGCCTGTCATTTCGACAGCTAAAAGGGTAAGATGGTTTTAAAATAAAAGTTAACCCAGAAAAAAACTACATATTTTTAGAGCAGAAAATCTGTAACATCGTAAAAAAGTCGTAGTATAAGAGCTGAAACATTACTATTGTTTCAATAATGTACGGTCTCCAATTAAATTATTGTGTTTTCCTATAAAGCAAAGGAGACTACTTTTTGTCCATTATACTGACTTTATTTGAAATCGATACAAGCAGCAGTGTTCTCATCTAATATTTTATTTATTTCAAACCTTTCACACAGCCTCGAGTCTCAAGAAGGCCTCCTTCAACTTTGACTTTTTCTGCCACTGCTCTCTTCGCCTTTTTATGGCTCCGTTTTTTATTGCTAGCCATTACTTGAATATTCCGGTAGCCTGGTTAGTGCCAGCTTCGATTTCACTCCGTATTTCTGTCAAGGAAATCGATGAGGGAGCCAGGAGAAGGCAGTGAGTTGCTTTTGTTTCAGCCAGACAAGGACATTTCTGGGCCGGGCTTCGAGTTCAACGCTCGCCATTAACCGCTGCCAGTCTTAGGCGGCGTGGCATTAATGTTTTTCAATTATTTTTATTGGCTTATCATAAATTATAACGCCCTCCTGGCCTAGGCTGCCATATTTTTTGAGCACTTACCGCCTTGACGTGTACTTTGCGAAATGACTTTAACTTGGAATGCCTCGTAAACTCGCCAAAATTCCGCAGGCATTGACATCAACATATGTTAGGCCGATTTCCTCTGAAATCTGGAAAAACTTTCTACGAAAGTGCGAAAAGTTTTACTTGCTTGAGTCACATTTATTATAATAGCACATAACTTTGACTGTGATTTGGTTATGAAAAAACTCCTTTAAACAATTCACCCATTTAGTCACTATCACAAATTGAAAAGACTTTCTTTATTAATTATACCTTAATGCAATTAGTCGCTACATGCCGCAACTCGGTTACAAAAGTTTCGTTTTTGCTTCTTGTGCGCATTTAATTATAACACCAGGAACCCTTTTGGTTTTTTCAAGGACTTCTCCTGTTGCAAGTGCAATTTCCGTGCTAAATATTTGCACACAAAAGCAGGAAACTTTTATCCAACTTTTCTTTTCCTTCTGGTGGTTTTTCTCTGGCCCAAGTTTTTCCTCTCCTCCAAGAGAAACATTTTTAAAGTACCTACTAAGCCGGAACGTTGTATCCCCTTTCATTAAGCCTTTGACTGGTCAGTTTCTCAGACCTCACTGGCCGCATTTAATTTTTTCAGCCAACTTTACAACTCTGCTCAGTTTCCGTTGCATTCTTCGAGGGCTTCGAGCACTTTTGCAAATAAGCCGTGCATAAAGTAAAAGAAAATGTTGCAAAACAAAGTTTTAAAACTATTAGAGGATAGGTTGAGCTGGTGAATTTTTATTTAAAGATTATCTAAAATGAGTGTTAAGAGGGCTATTGATTTCAATAAGTGGGGAGTTTATTTTTAATAGGTATGATCATTAATAATCGCTGCCTCCGGCATTTAATAATTTAATCAATATCGTTTTGAGTCCAGAAGAAGAAAAGGCATTTAAAATGAAAAAGCTCTGTTTTTAAATATATATAAAAGTAATACCATTATTATTAGTAATACATTATTTTTTTCTTTCATAAATAAAACCATATCGAATAATTGGATACCTACAGGGGTTTTTATTTATATTATTGATTTCTTTTTAAACTTTTTAAAGCTGCAGGCATTTAAGGAAACCAAAAATTTACATATAAAATCCAACCATAGACAAGATGCCCCTGATTGCACAGTTCATGGAGCATGGTATTCTATGACCCATTCAGTCGCCTTCTCACGTCGTAAGATTCCTAATTAGATCAGTCAAGGGAGATAGTGCAAAACTCAGTGAGCTGCTTTGCATGCAACCCTCTTCATTTAAGTGCAACATTTTCCAGTCTTATCGTTCCGTTGCTCCACTTGAGTGACATCCGTTTTGCCCTCTTTTTCCAGCTTCAGCTGAAAAACAAGATAAGAAACATATACTTTAAATGACCCCCAACTTTAAGTGGCTTCAGGTAAAAGAAAAAATACAAAATAAAAAAATTCCGTTTAAATGACATTTTTTCCATACTGTTGTGATTTTTCAATTACCAAACCAATTGTGCAATTTCATGGAGATACCAATTTCATTATTGACCCCATTATTTTCGAAATCAATTAGCTCGCAAACGGCAGTGAGCCAAGGGCGTAATTGGACTATTTTGTGGCTGACAGCGTATATTGGGAATCTGAGCTCCAAAATGTCGCATTGTTGACCTATGACCACAGGCATTGGCATCCACGTAATTTGAATAGAGAGGCGGATGGCAGCGACAGACATCCTGGTCCGCACCCGCAGAAATATTTCACCGCAAATACGCCAAAATCTTGCCCACACCCACGCTCAATAAATCCACTTTGTTAAAGAGGACTTAAATATTTAAGTAATGCCAATCAGTCGATTCAAGGGCGTGGTGGAATTTAGATTGTAAGCTTTTACTTTTTATTCCTAAAATATTTAAGCAACAAATACTTTTCGTTAAAGGCTAACAAATACTTCAGAAGAATATTAGGAAGAAAACTCGTAACAACTATCTGGAAAATGGCTAACAAAATTCGATTCTTAACATACACTTTTTTCTTGCTTTTCTGTTGTCTATTTGGTGATAGAATTCAAAAGGCAGAAATAAAGATTTTAATTAAAAAAATAATACAAACTTCAAATAAATCTAAATAGCTTTTAAATTTTAAAGCTCAGTATTATTATATCCAAGAATAACTGAGTCTTAAGGGTTATTTCCACCTTTGCTTTTAATATTTAATTAATCCTATTCCACATACGCCACGTGGCCATGGCCTTACATACAAGAAGTGACCAGACAAAGTGGGTTAACTTTATGGCCGGGCTAAGGAACCTCTAAAACGCAACGGTTGCTAGGCGGGAGCTTTGTCTCTGTTTCCAAGGAGAGGGGGGTCAGCAATTACCCGGCGAGCGGTCATTAAAAACAATCCTCAACGGAGCACGCAAAGCCATTGGTATTAGCCTCCATCTGGGTCCCATGTGAACTCAAATATGCCTGTGCGTGACACTGCTTATTTTGGTAACAGCAGAAGCTAAATTTAGGGTTAGTCTTAGCCAGAAAGAATTTAACCACTTTTCTAAGTATTTTATATTAAGGTTTTAACCTGTATTTTTGTTAACTTACAAAATTCGTTGCTATACGTAAGCTTAAAAAACGTAAAACACGCCATCTACAACGTTTATTTGAAGAAGCGCCACTGTATACGCTTCACTCTTAAACGTATTTTATTACATAAATCTGCAAAAGCTTCAAGCTCGAAAAAACAGAAGGTGGCTGCTACAAAAACATATAAGCTCAAAGTTTGTAAAAGCTTACAGTCTTGGCGCAAGATTTCAAAAGTAAATCAATATTCATATTTAATAAGCTCTTTGCTTTATTTAATTCAGCTTAAAAAAAAAACGTTTTTTTTAATTTAATTTAATTTAATTTAAGGCAGACAAAATTATGATATAGCTTAATAAAGATTTATAAAACTTAATAAATATTCATTTTTATCACCAATCACAACTCATAATACAAAGCATTAAAAGATACCCCAAAGAACATTTTAAATTTAGCTTAACTATCACATGAGAACTTAACCTAATGACAACAGCGACAACTAAATAATAAATAACGTGCTTAATAGATTTAGGAATTCAAGGGAGTGGTCCTCATTCGCCAGGCATCCTTGACCATATCCGACGCTTTTTCAGCGACCATGATCACAATGGCATTGGTGTGGCCAGCTGGAACATTAGGGAGCACCGAGGCATCCACAACACGTAGTCCGCGGATGCCGTGGACCCTCAGTTGGGCATCCACCACGGAAGTTTCATCCGCGGCGGGACCCATCTTACATGTGCCCGATTGGTGCTGCAAACTGGATCCATACCTTCGCAGACAGCACCTCCAGTACTCTTCGCTGGCAAACTTCAGGTGCTCACAGCCCGGAAAGGGACGGTCATGGAAACGAGTGCCCATCTTCACCATGGGCTTGGATCGGGCAAGTTGGAGGATCTGGAAAATGGGAACAAGAAAGGTATATTAATCATCTTTAGCACGGGAGAAACAAAGTGAAAAATTAGTAGAATAATAAATAAATTTTGCAGTTTTTACCTTAATTGAAATAAATATCTTAAATTCTAATACATTAAAAAAGAGAACTAAAGAAAAAAAAGAAAAAAGTCTTTGGAAAAACGAAAAACTTTTATGTTTACCATTTAATTTCTGTTGTCTGTAATTATTTTCCTAAATTAGATTTTATTTTAAATATAAATATACCTACCATTTCAATTCCCTCGATCATGGCCCTCACATCGTCGGGATGCTGCATGAAATTGGGTTCCATTCGTGGCCAGTGAAAGGGATTACGGCTGCGCAGCGAAATGCGTCCCCGACTTTTGGGACGCAGGAGCACCGGAACCAGACCAAAGGTTTCCTTGTCCTGCAGATCCCCAAACATGGTGTCGTAGAACTCATCAGTGATGCCTAGTAAATTTCGCATAGTGCCAAATCGATCGCCACTTAAGGATCCTGCCCCTAACACCAGTTCCATGTCCGTATAGTCCTTGGCTGATGGTTAAAAATGATAAAGGGACTTAATAAGAGTTCCAACTTATGTTCAACTCACGATGAAGTCTTACCAAAACTGGAGCTGGGAGTTCTTACAAAAGCGAATGCCTCTGCTCCACCGGGAATGGTGTACGGTCCCTGTCCCGCAAATATGTACCGAAAGATGTCCGAGGGATTCAGCAAACGGGCATCGTTAACCGTCGAATCGTTTACAACGAACACCAGACCATTAAGTGTTATGTGATCCTGAAGATTGAAGCCCACTGGGAGATCCTGCACCACTGTGATGTTGTGCTCCTTTAGGTGATCCGCCGGTCCCACTCCGGATAACATGAGGAGTTGAGGACTGGCGATGGTTCCAGCGGATAGGATCACCTCCTTTCGGGCTCGAACCACAAATCTCTGACGTTGCTTTACGAACTCCACTCCAGTGGCTGTTTTAGTGACCGGATCGATGATCAGTCGGGTCACCCAGCTCTTCATGGAGATGTGCAGGTTCTTGCGCCGAACTATTGGCTGTATGAAGGCCTTGCCAGTGCTGCATCGCCTGCCATTTCGAATGGTGGCCTGAGACCTCGCGAAACCCATCAAATGCTCTCCATTCGGATCCGTGATATCGTAACCCATATCCCTGCCGGATTTCAGGAAGGCCTTCAGCAGCTGTGACCTATAGTCCGTATACTGCACATCCAGCGGTCCATTGCGACCATGATAGGGTGATTTATACAGCTCAGGGATTCCAATTCGCTCGGATTTCCGAAAATAGGGCAGCACTTCATCATAGGACCAGCCTGAGTTATTGGCCGCCGCCCACTCATCATAATCCCTGCGATGACCGCGAGTATACAGCATAAAGTTGATCAGACTCGTACCACCCACGCCACGCCCCTTTGGCCAGTTACAAACGCCGCCCTTTAATCCTTGGCAGGCGTTTTCCGTGGGTTCGGCTTTGTAGCCCCAGTTGTAACGTGTCATTTGGGTGAGAGCTGCTGTCAGTGGAACATCGCTGATGAAGGTTTCCTGATCTCCGGCCTCCAGGAGCAAAACACTGACCGATGTAATCTCACTCAGCCGATTGGCCATCACACAACCCGCACTGCCAGCTCCCACAATAATGAAGTCATATTCCGGCAAAAATCGTGTGGTGTCGGGAATCCGATTGTTCAGCAACGTAGTCTCGAAATCACGGGCCAAGTCCACCAAAAGTTGGCACCTTGTGGCTTGAAGGTAACACAGACAGAGAAGCAGTACTCCAAAAAATTTCATCTTGACCATATATTAATCTGCAAAAATAATTTGACAATTAATATTTCCAATAAATTATATTCAAATGCGGTTCCTACTTAGAAGATTAGTTGCGTGTTTAGCTAGAGGCTGGTCATAAAATTGTAAACAACACCAGAATATGCGGAAATGTTTTTACTTGCTCAAAAAATTGCATCTTTTTGTATGCTGTTAAAATTTCTATTGGCCTTTAGATTTATTTTTGTCATTATTTATGTTTTCACAGTTATTTATGCCCATTATTCATATTTATTTTTATTTCTATAGTGACATTTAATGTATTTTTTTAAAAAACTTCAACTGCGACGTTAAGAACTTTAGGACTAATCATTTGAATTTATTAAAATTTCCGTAAATATTGAACAAAAGAAACTCTCTGAGGAATCCAGAACTCTTGATTAGCAGCTGCTCGCAAATTGCAGCAGCCTTGAGAACGATTTCACTTTTTCCCTTTTTTCTGTTCTGAGTTATATTTACGCTCGATCGACTTCGGTACGTCCCGAACGCGTTTTGAGCTCAAGTTCAACAGGTTTTGGGGTTACAAGAAAACGAGAAAATCAAAAGTGCCAATAAAAATAATGACTTTGCAAAAGGATTGAAATTAAGTTAATGCTAGCCAACCGGTTCGTGGTCAAAACAAAACCAATATGAAGAAGAAACCAAATCAAAGCAAACATTGCAAATAAAATCAAAATAAATCGATCGCGGAGACGAAACAAATATTTAAGCGTTGACCCATAAACCGCACGCGGATGCTCACAAAACAAAAACAGTATTGCCAAAAAAAAATACAAAAAAAAATTATTCGAAATTAAATTACTTTAAGTTGTGGGCGCCAAATGTTTTTTTATGCAAATTATCTCAGTTTTGGGTTTTTCGAAACGCCGACAAAAATTGCACAAATGTTAATAAATCATTTCAATTAACCTCAATAAAGCCGGCGAGTAGTTCAATGAGTTGATACAGTAGCCAAGTCGAAACCTGATTCAACGATCCACGATATACACTGTATAAAATAGAAATACCTCGGCTTTGTCTTCGCCCAGTTAAGTTCTATAACTTGGCCATGGCCTTCTAATCGGATTCACTCGATCGGTTTCAGCGATTACAGAACTACTTTAAGCTCGTTTCAGTTTTAGGCCCGCCTTCCGAAGGGCGTTGCATTCATTAAGGTTCTGGTTATCTACCCCATGCCTATCAATGCGGGTCATTAAACCGAGCTTAATTGGGTGAGACGTGCCGCCTGAAGATCTCGATAACTATAACATGAAATTTGTTAAATCCGATTTGAAACTTAATGACTTATGAGTAACAGAGTGGCCTATTAACATGGATTAACACATTGCGGTTGCGTTGCCCAAAAATTATCTTTGCAGAAATCATCAGACTAATAAAGATGATAATAATGTAATATATTGCTTATAAATGACAGCAATTTGTTAACATTTGTATACAATTTTTTGGCAAGTCCAAATATACATTAAAAATTTGTTTTTAATTATCAAGAAACGGTATGTATTTACACTAAAAATTAACCACTGTAATAAATAAAATAGAATAACTTGAAAAATCCAAAGGGTGAAAATCTATTCCCCTTTAAGCCACAGCATATACGTATGCATTTCATTAGCCAAAAACCGCAGAACTGCATTTTTTGCTCGCCTAGCAACTTGACTAGTTCTCAACAAGAGCAACTTGCCAAATGTATATAGAGTTTACGTCAACCGACCAGATAGGAGCACACAAACGCACCGTGGAACAAAAATTGTCTCAAATAGTATTGTGAAATTCTAAACACGTTTACCAATGCACAATCCATGCAAAACACTTGCCGATAGAATGCACTTACGAAATGATCTGTACGAAAATAGGCCACTTGTATAGACAAATACTCCAAATCGATTCACCGATGTATTTTTAAAGAGCGCATGCGCGCCCGCTGATGTCCGGCGCTTAAATGAAACGTCGCTGCCCGGCCTGCAACGTTGAAGCCTATGCGAGATAAAGTAAAAAAAAAGTTAAAAACTCAGCTAACAACACGGGTAGCTACCGGGCTAGTCGGTCAACGCGCTACGTTCGGGCGATCACGAAAAAAGATACAAGATACATTTGTGCGCCGCTCCACGATGGACCATCATTTTTCAAGTTCATCGGGTGAACTTGCAAATTTTTGGCCATTTTACGAGCTATTTTTGGGGAATTTGCTGCATATTGATTAGCACCCCGCAGATCGCTGTAAAGCCTAATCGAACCGAACAAGTGGATGGGTGATCAGCGATTTGTCGCCGACTGATTAGCGCGGAGGTGCGAAAGATCAAGTAGGTTGAATTAAAGTGCTTCCGCTGTTTACTGTTTTCGATTTTTGAATTATTATTGGAACTACAATAATGGAACAAGTCATTGGACTGCTTTTGAAGTTCAATGTCAAGATTGGAGTGACGCTTTTCCGGCTTCACAGATGACCTTACCAGATCGCTTGGGTTACATGAGCCCGAAGATCATAAAGATGGCATTCAGCGGATTACAAACGCTTGACCCAGACTCATTTGCATACGAACAACAGCCAAATCGTTTCTTTAATGGGCAACTGAACAAATTTTTTGGCTCTAGCTCGCCCGATTTCGCAGATACTTTCACAATACACATTTTTCTCTAAATTTTGGCGATTTCGGTGAATCGCAAAAAACAAACTGACCTTGAGTACAAGACATGTTTGGTGGCTGGATATTTCTTTTAATAGCCACAATCCCAACAAAACGGTTTAAATGCATTTTACAGTGATTTATTTGATATTTGCCCAGCTTTTATGCACATTCATTTGGCATGACTTGGCAACAATCAAATAGCCCGGCTCATACACTTCTACGAGTTAGGAGCACATACTCCACAATAGTGGTCAACCCACTCACTTCGAGACCTGATAATTGATTAAAGATCAAAAGCTGAAAACAATGCAACTTGCTAATTAAATTTTAACTACTAAACAAAAGCTGGGCTGGTTTTTCCAAAAGGTGATAGCTGACCCAGAGCAGAAAATGAGACTGCATAATTTCTGTAGCCTAATTGAGATGTGTTTTGAAAAAGTACAGCAGTATTTCCTCTTAAGTCTTAAATATTTAAATAGCCAAAGCTATGGGCCTAAATGTAGAATCTTTTCCGAGCCAGAATGATCATGAGAATTAGAACAAGGCCACTAGCAAAGCTAAATATGAATTACTTTATTTATTCCGCAAATATTATAAGAACCTTCTTATAATAAGCACAATGTAACCTATTAAGTGTTTGCTAACGAATTTGCATTCTACATACTCATTTTACAAATTAGCAAGCTCAAGTAATTTCCAATGTCATCGGCTAGTGTTAAAATTGGCTCGAGCAAACAAGCAAAACAAATGCATCTTTCGCAGTAAAACTGATGTCAGTGTGAATATTATTTATAGGCCACTTCAAGTGACTCAACCCTAATAATATAAATTTTAAGTACTTAGACAAACGCGCCCCGAAACACTTGATAAACGACCTTGCCAAGGTAAACAGCAAAGCGATCTGGTTTGAAACACAATTGTGAGGCGATTTAGTTCGCTGCAGCCAAAAAAAGAAACGGTGGCAGTTCAGACGGATATCAAATAATACAAATTAGCAAATACTAATCCAAATAACGCCATCAAAATAAACACAAATCAGCGGTTTCTGCACCGTTGGCCGGGGGTAATAAAACCTCTTCAGTGTCAAGTGGGCCGGGTCGCAGGCACTTGTGCCCCATAAATCACGTGTCTCAAACAGATGAAGACGTGACCAGAGTGCGTAAAAAACCCAATAAAACAATATAATGCCTGTAAACTAACAATAATAATAGCCTCCGTGATTGAGCACCCACAATGCCATAAGCGCAGCACGATGATTGACCAACGTCACAAGCGTTTTGGTACAATTATGGTTACGCATCTGAGGGCTGAAATTGAGCTGAGTACTTCTTTGAGTGTCAAGTGTGCGGTCAAAAATAAAAAATAAATGCATAGAGGAGACTTTGCCGACGTGCTGACAAGGGTGTACCATAATAAAAATCCAAAAGCCAAATGACACTCAAAAGGTCTAAACCAGGCTAAGGAGGCCCGACTTAATTGAATGAACTTGAAACAATTGCTGAATAATTTTACTCGGTATTGAATGGATATGCATTACAGCCGGCAATCAGTGGGGTGTTCCGAAAATCTTGCATTCGAATAACCAAATATGTAATAAGGAGAATCCTATAAAAAAATTATGCAAATTAAAGAAGTAGAAACAAAAAAGGGTAAGCAATATTATCCTATACATCAATCAATCACCTTAAGCTAACGTTATTGCAACTTTTTCTTTGTATATATGTGTACTTATCTACAAGTTGGCTACCGTTTTTCAGAACAGCCAGGCTATCATGACCAATTTGATGACAGACTCCATGTCAAATCTGTTCAGGCCGAGACGGTCTTTGAACGCTTTGATTTGGTGTTATTGACACAACCAAAGTACTCGTAGCCACTTAGCCATGACTTGTTTGCTTTACTTCAGGCTTCGAACAAGTCAAGAAACCCCAAAGAAGAAATAAGACAACGATAAGTATGTTTAATTTGTCACTAATTTTATTGATGAAAACTTCTGTGGTGAGTTTGACGATTTGATATTCTTTTAAGTATGTAAAGGGAAAATACCAGTTAAGTTGAGTTCATGTAAAGTTTTAGAATTGAAAAGATTTGCTTTGGAGTTAGATTGTATTTTGGTTTTGCTTTGATTTGCGTTGCTTTGCGGCATTTTGATAATTCCGATATACTCATATACTAGGCATATTCATTGAATTATATCGGTTAATGTACTAATACCGAAAATCAATTACGTATTTGTTTTTGTTTAAACCAATTGCTTTGCACGTCAATCAAGTTTCACTAAAACTATTTGTTGTATAAAGCGAAAAGCGTCGTAGGGTTTCATTGATTATGCCTGGGTTTTTTCTAGATATATGTTTATGTAGATTTATTATTAATTAATTCTTGAGTGTAGAAACTGCAAAACATAAAATGTACTTAACGACTACAGATACACTTTTGGACTTTTTGGATTTATATAAATATTTTATTTTTGTAAATGTTAGCATAGCGATTTCTGTTTTATGTTGTATATTGTAATTGTTAAACTTTGATGCATTTTTTATAAATTTAATCAGTACGATTTATTTCAAACTAAGCCCCTCAAAAATAACTTCCCTGGACGTGGGAAAAAGTTGATTTCGTTTGTTGGAAGTGCTTTGTCGGAGTGGGAATACATAAATTAGAGAAAAAAAAAATATATTAAGCAATGAAAATATTATAACATACAGGCAGCTAAATTATATTTTATTTTAATTTATCTTTTGATATCTCAATTAAAATAATTTGATTTTACATACATTTTCCATGTAAATTTGCATTTTACATGGGCAGCCCATAAGTAGGCAATATTATTTTTAGCGCCCTCCCAATGTTGCAGCATCATGTTGCCAAACCGAGTTTACGATTTGCATACTGCGATTTCATAAATTATCACATAAAAATAATTCTCATGGAATTGAAATAGGTTTTTTAAACTATGCACTCTGTCCCTCGTCCAGATATGGGGCTTTAATTTTTTAGTTTTTCCAGATCAAAGAAAAAACCGCCTGCTTAGTGGCGCAGCAACATGTTGCTGACCTTAGCCTCGGCTTTGGGCGAGATTTTTTCGCGGAACTGGCGGTTTTCCGGATTGGCCAGCACCGAGGCAATGAACTCCGAGGTCTCGAGCTGCAGTTGGGCCAGTCGCTTTTGCAGCAGCTTGTTGCGCTGCACCAACTTGATAGTCTTGATGGCAATGGACAGCAGGCCATCGCTGTTCTGATGATACAGATGCTGCTCCTTTATCGGATCCTGGCTGTACTCGTACCCGCTGTCGGCGTCATCGTCCTCCAAGCGGACTGGCACCTCATCACAGTGTTTGGCCGCAGCCGATCGGTTGTGTTTGTTGCTATATCCACTGGCCGTCGTCGGCTGTAATACTGTCTTGATGTTGCTGACGCCGCTGGAATGTGGCTGTTGCTGCTGGAACTGAATCCTGGCAGTCGAAAAGCTGTCCTCATCTAGCTGCATCCGTTGTTCGGAATCCATCTCCACCTCCGTTTCCACGCCGCTGCTGGTGTCCGTGGAGGAGGACGTCAAACGGGCCAGGATGTGCGGCATCTTTCGTTGCAATCTCGCTGGGCGACGGCGACTCGACGAGGTCATTGAACCTTTGGCCACTGCAACGAAAAAAAGGAATCAATGAGGAAGGCACATTTTAATCGTGAACAAATGAAAAGCTGGAAGGTTTGACAGTGACTCAAAATTATTTTTAGTTAGTTCGACTAAAAAATCTTATATTTTTTAAAAGCTTTCAAAAACAATAGATATACAAAAAATAAATAGAAAAATATATTTCTAACCAAAACATTTTTCTGTGATTCAGTTATTTGAAAATTTTGAAATTAATAATATATAAACTATATATATAAAATATATATAAATAATTTAACAATGTTACATAGAGAGCTTTAAAAGTTATCAGAGCATATTTATAAGTCAATTATGGCACATTGTAAGCCAATGGGAGCAAACGAATTATAACAAGTCCAGAGTTAGACTCATTTCCTGAAAGGACAGCACTTTACCTCGCCCGCAGTGCCGTCGAGTGGTCAAGCTCTGAGCTTATTGGGCGGTTGTCAACCGATGTCTCAATCTATTACAACGTCTTGGTATTTTTGCCTCTGTGTGGATTTCTGGTGTTTAAATGTGGGCATCGCGTGTGGGCTAAAAACGTGCCAGCACCAGGGTTAAGCGTTTCGGCGACGACAACGCGTTTCGCATCAATTCGCAATCGCAACGCTCATTTGCAACCATCAGCTGTTACGAGTCGGAAAACACACGGAAAACACTGCCAACAACCCAAAGCTTAATGGGCCTTGCTGATTCATAGAAAAAGAGAGGAACTACGCCGGTTTTGAGATATAATATATTATTATAATAATACACAAAATAATTTTATAGTAATTTGAATTCATTCATTTTAGTTGTGTAGCTATGGTTTATGAAGGAGCTCATCAGAGTTCTGTTGAATGGAATTTTGTATCTTTTCAAAAATATCTAAATAATACATTATGATAAAAGAATATACAAATTAATAATTTAAAAAAAATTTTAAAAATTTAAAATGTTATCTATAAATGTAGGATATTAGGACATTTGTTTTTATTAGTCACTTTCATACATCCTTTGTAGAAATAGTACTAGTTAAACATTATCTTTTCTCCAAGTGCACACATTTCCCCCACAAACACGATTTCAAATCGGCGTTTTCGCGACTGTGTCTATGGTCAGGGTCATGACGCTCCACCTCAAAGTTAACGCTGCACATGGCACTGCACACACCCTGGACGCGCTCGGATCGTGACGGAATCGATTGCGCTCTGTTTTCAGCACCGACTGGGCAAATGCAGCTTACGTGACACCAGTGCGCCAGTGCAGCGAAACGTGAGATTGGTCCGAAGGCGGCAGCCCACTGATTAAAATGGGAGAGTCAGTGAGTTTTCCAAAACACGATGTTGAAATATACAGAATCTAATACATTTATATAATTTATCCTTTAAGTAGTTCTCCCGAGCAAATACAATTTTCTCTTTTATTTCGTTTGAAAATACTTGCTTGAAATACTTATTTTTCTGGTTAAACTTTTTCTAAATTTACTTGTATAGTCTCAAGAACATGTTAAGATTTTATGCTTAGTATATACAATGTAATATATATTTTTGTAAGTCCCTCTAAATTAATTCTGGGTCATCTCGTTGACTTCAAGCTTTATTCGCGATTCCGCGAACTTATGGGATAGACTTGTTGACTCGGCAATAGACATTATAAATTCGGTTGGATTTTCCTGTTTATTCATGCGTGGCTTTTCGAGTAGAGCCATATTTCGGTGCAGTTCTTGGTGCAGTTCACCCATAAACAGAACAAGGTCATTAACCTCCTCGCTAAACTCAAATATTTCGCGTCTCAGGCGGCTTTTGTTAAGATAGGCAGAATTTTTTTTGGCAAATCGGGCGGCATGAACCTTGGCCGTTTTGAGTACTTCGTGCTTGGACATCTTGACGTCGAGCAAATATGTGTGCCGCTCCTTGCAGACCTTCATCTCCTTGGCCACCTCATGGGTCCAAGCGAGCTGCTCCCGAGACTTGGAGATCAGATCCTCCAGTTGCAGTTCCATGCAGCGAAATTGTTCGCGCATTTTATGTATGATTTCGCGAAAGTTTTGATATCTGCAGATCACTTTGTCTATTTCTAATTGAATACAATGGTGGGCTTGGCGAAGGCTCCTTGCTTCCAGTAATTCCTGGCCCTCCAGCGGAATGAATTTGGGCTGTTTGATTGACGATTTTACCTGTGTTTCGGAGTCCCTTTCATTTTCCTCATTTTCCTGCTCCTTGCACTTTATTTGGGCCTTGGTCAGGGTTTCTATCGGATGCTCTTCAGATTTTTCACTGACCTTTTCGCTACTTTCCTTAAACTGACGACTCTTAATGGTAATCTGCATGAGTTCAATTTGTCGGATCAGGCAATCTATATCGTGAACAACCTTCACTGCCTTTTCTGCATCGTCCGTAACATCTTCGGAGATCTCATATAACTCCATTTGCTCCTCCTCTTCGGCATTTGAGAAGCTGACCTCCTCGTCAACATCGAAGATCTCCAGATCGCTCTTTACGCATCTCAAAGTCCGCGTTATGGTATCCATCTGGTTTAACCGCACCTTTGCGCAATCGGGCATCCCTTCCAAACTTTTAACTTCGTCTACTTCCATTGCTGAGCAGGTACTTTATTTCTATTCTGTACTTTAATTTGTATGTGTATTTATTGAAAGGTAATTAAACCTACTAAGATTAAAAGGTAAGGGTGAATTTGGCATTCAAAAAATAGGTAAGATGTGTTTTTCCTGTAAGACAATTTAGTATTTGTATTTTCTTATAGACCTTGCAGATTCGCATGAGTTTCTTCCTTCAACAAAATTAAGTATTGCGCCCCGCCGCTTCTAAATAAGACCGTGACCGAAACTCGTGTTCTTGCAATGTCCATTCATCTCACCTCTGCCCAAGAAATGTGCATCACATGAACATATGTTTTTGCAGCTTTCTTTTCATTGCCAAGCCAAGGCTCATGCACTTGTCTGTTCTTATCTAACTCACTGCAGGTGGTTTTGACTGGGAATTGCATTTCACAGTTGCTACACAGAGGAAAAATGACATTCCTGAATTATCTAAAAAAAAACCTACAAGAAGTTCAAAGATAATGATTTTTAAATAACTTACAAATAAATGACTACTTATAGTAAATTCTGTAATTATTTCGACGAGGTACAAGTTTCTTTGCTTCAGTAGGTCAATGTAATTCGTTTTGCATTATTTTTTATTTTAGATACATTCATTTAAATAGTTAACTTCTCTTCTGTTTAGAATTAAAAACATTTTTAATTTTTTTGTGAATGTTCTTAAGATTTAATTTGTGTCGATTGTGGCCTCGTCATCGCTGTGTAAATGCACGTGCCTCGGTTCATTCTCGGTGAATTGGTCACCGGTGATGGTTGAAAATAAAATTTTAAATGCCTTAAATAAAGGCAGAGGGCGAGGGCAATGGCCAACGTTCCATCCCCCTGGGCCACGCCTACTTCCACAACCCCTCCCCAGAAAAAGCTGTCTAGAGGGAGGAAATCGCGAGGGGGCTTGCACGTGGCCTCGTCACACCCATTTTTATTTTAGACGTGTGTCGGTGTATTTCTTTCGGTTTATTTTTATGTGTTGCTGCAAATTAGCAGGCAGCAACGAGCACAAATAAAAAGTCTACAACGACAGCAACAACAGCGGTGCTTTCAATGAATTCACATTGAAAATGGCACCAATAAAGTCAAAAGCAAAAAAAAAAAGCAAACTTGGCTAAAAGCAAGCGGAGCAAATGTGCAAAACATGTAAATAAAGCCCTGGCAAAAGTGGCACAGTAGCAAAAACAACGATGGAGGTTATGACACACACTTATGTGGAAGACCCGGCCCGACGCCCCTGGTTTCGTTTGCTTGTGAAATATTTCTTGGAAAATATCTAGGTAAATGTTCTTACAATTTCACTTGGCTAATGAGTAATTATTGAGCATCATAGGTGTGAGCTGTGTAACATTTTCTAGGAAAGAAAATTTTAAAGAAACTGATAATTATCTTAGCAACAAATACATCTAAAACATTATCAATTAATTTCAGTTTTATTTCAAATATTTATTTTTTTATGTTATTTTGAACGAGAAAGGAAAGCTAACTTCGGACGGAGCCGAAGGTGATATACCCTTGCAGAATATTCTGTAAATTATATTCTTAATTCTTAATACTCATAAAAAGTCCCAATTTCCTCATTTTAAAAACACCTAAGTTATGGCATTTCCAATCGTTCAGTTATATGGCAGCTATAAGATATAGTCGGCCGATCCTTATGAAATTTGGTATGTCGGAGTGATTGGCCAAAAATAAAACCCATAGAAACTTCTTAACTTTACAAACACCAAAGCTATGGCATTTCCGATCAATCAGTTATATGGCGGCTATAGGATATAGTCGTCCGATCCTTATGAAATTCGGTAGGTCGGATAAATTGGCCAAAAATAAAAAGCTCATAGAAAATCCCTACTTCCTAACTTTAAAAACATCAAAGTTATGGCTTTTCCGAACGTTCAGCTATATGATATAGTCGCCCGATCCGGCTCGTTCCGATTTATATACTACCTGCAATGGAAAGACAACTTTTGGGAAAGTTTCAAGCAGATAGCTTTAAAACTGAGGGACTAGTTTGCGTAGAAACGGACGGGCGGACGGACAGACGGACATGGCTAGATCGACTCTCGTGGTGATGCTGATCAAGAATATATATACTTTATAGGGTCGAAAATGTCTCCTTCTCTGCGTTGCAAACGTTTGACTGAAATTATAATACCCTCTGCAAGGGTATAAAAAGCCCAATAAAATACTCTACCCGACCAACTAAATGTTTGTAATACCGTATTGTTCTGCATACATTTTAATTTTAGTAAGTTTATGAATTTTTTGACTGAATTCTTTATATTTAAAACTTGCTATTCAGCAGTAAATTCGAATGTATGTGCATGGTTGTGTAACTATTTTACGTTGAAAATATATTTTTCAAATATTGTAATTCGCTTATTAGTACTAATATTAGTACACTATCAATAAATATTGTGATTTGTCTAATCAAGTTACCTAAAATACTTAAAATAGTAATTCATATTTAATTGCAAATCAATTAAATTACAATGGTAAGGACGTGCGCCCCTTTAAAAACCATAACACGGCTTAGTTAACCTTTAAAAAACATACGACCATTTAAATAAGTAATGTTCAACTTCCCATACTTGATATATGACATTCTTGCCCGATTGTTACTCAAAACCATCCCCCACACATGCATATCCATTTCCCTTTCAGTGGCATTAGATCGCTTATATAAATGTGTCAGCCAGACTTGCCAACCGAGTCTGTCTTACCCAACAGCCAACGCTGAAGAAAGAGCAGCTGGAGCCAATTGCTGACGCAAATTGTTGTGGCATAACCCCAAACTCGCGTGCCTTCCATGGAGCAGCATTATTAGCAGCAATAAAACACCGGAGCCCAACACGTGAAGAACCCGATCCGTACCCATCGACCAGGGCACGTGCATTCAGTTCGCTATCCGAACTCATGTGTGTGTTCTGGCAATGAGGAAGTGGCAAACGAGGACAGTGCTCAGGCCCCAGAACCCAAAAGTCCAGAGGTGGGTGGCCGAGTTTACATAAATTAATTAAACATGACCGAGTAACGTGAGCAAAGCAATTGCAAACTGGGAAAATGGGAAACGTAAGCAGTAACAGTTACAAGAGCAGCAACATCAGCAAATCAGCAGGGGATGCTGACAATAAGGGGTATCAAAAATAAAAAAAGGCGAGGCGGAGATTGCAATGAATGTGTAGGGCACGGTTACGTATACGCCGCGTTCGCCCACCACATTTTGCCGGCACTAAGCACAACGCCATAAGCGTCGATTTTTGTTTTATATTCATCTATCTTTCGTCTATAAATAAAATTGTGCCCTAATTTGAATGCAAGTATATTCCTAAATTAGAATTTTGTTTTGATTACAGGATACACAATAAATTAAAGCTCATAAGATTTATCCACCTGGAATTAACTTTCAATAAATCTTGAAAATCTTATAGAATAAATTAAACTTTTCTATTTCTCTATCTGCATTTGACTGCGCATTCCCTCGGCTTACTCACCATAATTGAGCACCGAGCTGGCTTGCGTGGCGGCAGTTGCAGATGTGGGTCTTGCGGATGAGGACGAGGATTCTGTGGCTGCGGTTGAGGATGAAATGGCGGCTGTGGCCACGCCGTGATGTCGCCTCGTTTCCGCCAGCTGTTTTTTCTCCGAACATATGGTGGGCGCCATCTCTTGGAAAGTCTTTTTTTTGGCAGCGTGTATTTAAG